AACTGTGATCGGTCCTAGCACTACGCGCAACTTGCGAATGATCGGTCCTATGTGGAGAGGCGTCCCATCTACCATGCGAGCGTCCTTGAAGTTGACTGAAGTGTCCGTTTCGAGATGGAGACGACTAACTAATGAAGACGAAACGAACGAGTGGCTAGCTCCGCTATCGACGAGAATCTTAACAGGAACTCCGCGAAGCCTCCCTAGAAGCACGACTGGACGATCAACAGTGTCTACCTCGTTCTCCGTAGATGACTGCTGCGAGGCCGTCTCCTCTACGTTGGTAGACGTGGCGGGTACGGGAACCTCCACACCAGCTAGCGACCCGCTATCTACTGGCGGTTTCCGTTTCCCTGCTGCCGCTCCTTAAGCTGTGGGCAGTCCCGCTTCATGTGTCCCGGCTTTTTGCAGTAGTGACAGTTCCCCCTAAATCCTGTTTTCTGTGAGCCGTCACTGTTAACTGCACCAATCTCCATGGGCGATGGTCCGTCCCTCGATCGAGCGTCGTTGATCGGTCTGTTGTATCCCCTATCGCGATCTTCACGACCCCGTCGGCTTCGTACTGCGTCGACGCGTTCTGCTGCTGCGACTACCGACTCGAAGGTGGACAACCCGTGAATCGCTATGACTTCCGCTATGTCCGGCTTCAACCCCTCGAGGTAGCGATCGCGCATCTCTGCTTCCGTGATATCGTCTATCTCGTTGCAGATGCTCAAGAACCGTCGTGTGTACTCCTGGACGTTTCCTATCTGTCGGAAATGACGCAGACGCTTCTTAGCAGCTTCGGAGGCGTTCACCAAGTCGAACCTACTTTTCAGCGCCGCTTCAAATCCTTCCCATGTGGTCGGAACCGTGGTAACACCCAAAGCTAAACTCCCTAAGCTCGAAGTTGCAGCTGCATGCCCCACGCCCTGTTGATGCCCGTCTGTCTGAGCCATTCTTACAGCAGTTTGCGTGAGTTGGCGCCACCATTCCAAGGCCGGGCCCCTGAGCAGCGTAACGGCGTACTCGATCCGCTGCTGTGCGTCCGCCTCTTGCACCCCGCTCGCGGCGAAGTAGTTGTTCAGCATGAAGAGCCACGTCCGCACGTTCGCGTCGCGTTGACTTGGGTCGAACGACTCGGGTTTCTGCGGCTTGAGTGCGCTTCGACGTTCCGGCAGCGCTTCCGCGCCAGTCGACGTGTTGGGTGCAAGAGTTGGTGCGGCATGACCATGGGGGTTAGAAGCCAATTCACGAAGCTGTTGCATTTCAGCTCGTACCTGACGATTTTCCAACGTCAACTCTTGAAGTTGGCGCATGAGTTCGGCAAGCGTGTTGCTCATGTCGTGGGGGACAGCGTGCATGGTTTCGTCCATGTTCGCTCGACGACTCCAAGTCTGCAAGTCGGCACCGCGGGACGATGACGTCGTAGTCTCGTCGTCGACGGTCGCTCATTGGAAGTCGCTCCCCGCGAAGGCTCTGATACCAAGTGTTAGGCCCGACGGCCTAAGTCCGCTAAAGAATTAGCGGGGTCGACTAAGTCGAGGATGAAACGCGGCGGAAGACTTTGGCGAAAAAACTATTGGCGAAATATGCGAAGGAGTTACTGGGTAATGAAAGAGTTGAATGAGAATTGGTTGATAATGGCAAGTACAAGCAAGGTTTATATAGCATGCAAGAAACAAGGTTGGAAAGTGGAATGTGGGACCAAGAATTGGAGTGCAAGAAAAGTAGAGTGCCACGTGGCACTAGAGAATCTGAGAAGATAAGGATAATGGTGACTAGGAATGTACTGTTCGGAATGAACAGTAAACACCCCTCTAACAGCAGGTGCCTTATGCAAACTATTCGCGGAGCTTTCCTTTCATCCCCAAGGAGCTTGTTCTTACACTGGCACGGCACCGTATGTGCATGGAGACTGATCCATGTAAATCTCCATTTATACACTACCATGTAGCTTGATCCAATTCAACCCACTGCTCCAGAAACTCCCCAGATTCTCACTTTAAGGATAATATTACATAATGAATGACATCGGATGCATGCTGGCTAAAAGTAAGAGGCACCCACCCACCCACCCATCTTATCACCCCTGCTTTGAGAAACCTAGCATTCTATTGAACTCTCTACTTACCGTACCATCAACCATTTCTAAGCTGCCTGACCGTGCTCCATAGCACAATTACTATCACATACACTGCGAGGGCTCATTAGATCCTCCATATAAGCATGCTCGTTACCAGGCTTCCTAAGGCACTCCTGTTCGCAAATGTCCATTCTCGTGCTAGGCGTCAGCTGCTGTTGCTGCGCCTGCGACTTCACTGGTTTCCTCTCTCGTTGCTGCCGTTCCTTTGCCTTTTGCTGCGCGCGTTCCCGCTGCAGCGCCAGCTGCTTGGCGCGCTTCTCCTGGTGCTCCCTCCGCCGTCGTAACTCCGCCGCCTTGCGCTTCAGCTGCTCGTATCTCCTTGGAAGCTTCTTCCAGTACGGCACGTCAACGCCAACACCTTTCGTACTGGATGCTTCCTGCACGTAATCATAGAGATAACGATAGAAGTACACAAATTATGGCGACGAGCTTGTAGAGTGATACGAAAAGATACGCGGCATGCGTGGAATCGTTAGGGTTAAGAGTCACGAACGAACGGATCGAGTACGACTTTAACAGGCCCGTAAGCTGCTGGCAGGAAAACATGCTCGGATCTTCCGAGCGGCACGCACCTTCGCTCCAGCTGCCTTGGGTTGATCGTGCCCGCCGAAGAGCCTGGAGAAGCCCTGAAACGCGGAAAGACAGATATTTTAACGCTCCATTGCTCGTTTGCTGACGGCTTTGCATATCAGGAATTCAAAATCTCGACTTGGGAGTATTATCAGAACGGATACAGAGGAGAATATTTGGGACAGATCTCCGTTTGTCGTGTTGCGAGAACAAGTTTCTACTTCTCACCATGCGCAGTGCTCGCCGCTAAAATCACAAGGCAATACTAGGTCCTGACACGCGACGAAGCCACAGAACGGAACCGTCAAGCGGGACAGACTGTGAGGTGACACTCCGAATGGAAAAGGCCGATCGGTCAAAACGGGAACGCTACTGCACCAGCGAGACTGTTCGAAGACCTATTGCTAGCACGATTAAGGCGATACTGAATGTGGAACAAAGATGACAAACAACAGGATATAAGGTCTGACGCCGACTCGAGGGTCCTACGGCTGATCATCCCGACTCTTTGGAATGCCTCGTTACTGAAGAGTCGGCGGCTGCTCCTGCGGTTGCGACTGCATGCGACGCCACGAGAAGCGGCGGTGGACAGAGGTAAAGGCCGACAGGTACATGGCTGTTGGCTTGCAGCAGCATATGGATCCAATGCAATGGTAGGAAGAAGTCGATTTGTACAATGCTTGTGGTGGGGGAATGTGAAGAGATGGATGGATGGGATGGGGGAATCGGGTCGGGCATCGGAGTCTGCTATGTATGCGATGGGAAGAAACAGTTGACTTGAGAATTCGCGGCGCGTCTGTTGGAGGATGTGTGAAAGGGCGTGCTGGCAGAGAGGCAGAAAGCGCTGACACCTGAGTCAGTTCCGGGGCGCGGGACTGACTCGGTTTGAAATCTTTGGTTCAAAATTTTGCTTATAGCAGGATTGGCTGTAGGATTTAATTGATATCTATAATATATTGTGAAAATAATAATTGAGCGAATCCAATGGTGTGAGCAATTAACTCTAGCATATTCAGAGTACCTTAAAACTTGTCTAAATAACTTTTATCTTATTAAAAATATAGCTGTAAATAAAAATATTATTCACTTGAATTCAGCGCAGAGTTCTTATTCAAGAGTTCCTATGTCCATCTGAATCTGGATTAACTTGGATGTCGCAGTTTCTCATTGTTACGAAACAATCGCAGCCCTCTGTAACGGGCGTTCTTGTGCGCTGGACAAGGATCCTGCCTCGAAAATTACAACGTACTCCACGTCAGCGCTTGGTTCCTAGACAAGACACGAAAGGAGTCATCACGCCTTTAGGACGTGGAGCATTTCACGCCTTTTGTAAGGATTTCCAGAATCCTTACTGAGGCACTCGTTAGCGAGGTCATCCCGAGGGTCACGCGACGAACCTGTCCTTCCTATTTCGTCGCACCGAACCACTCCCGAGTCGCCTCCGCTCCAATCGCAACCATCACCGAGCCATCCTCGCCCAACCTCTCCGCCTAGCTAGGACTTGCCCTATTTAGTCGTACCTTTCTCATTGTATCGTCATTCAGTAATTCAGTACTCATGGCGGTGTTCGCCAGCACCTTTGAGATTGGAAGAAAATGGAAGGCATTGGACTGGCAACGGCATCAGGAAGCGGGGTCGGAACCCTCCGAAAAGGTTTGGGCGAAATGCCACCCGCGAACTTTCCAGCCCCGACATGAGAAACTTCACAACCGCATATGGAGCCCCACACCCCACCTTCCTCCGACAGCCACCGCCATCGCCAAACCACGGCGGTCCACGTGAAATGGTGGATTGCCACGGGATGGCATGAGACGGGACGTTTGCCTGGGGAGGAAGTCGCGTCCCCATTTCCGAATGCCATGTTTCCTTCCGAAAATTGAGAAAAATGAGAGCGTTCGCCAGGCACCGCAGATTGCTTTAGGCTCGGACGACATCCTAGCTTCGGCACGAATTTTACGGGCTGACCAGGCTGACGGAGCTTAACGAACCCTAACTGACGGGATCAGGAAGGCGTGACTGACCTTCCAGATCCCGTCGTTTTCGTTTTCAAAAGTGCTGGCGAACACCGCCATTCTCGATGTTCGTTTTACTGCGCACTCTGCAAGTTCATTCATAACACCTTTAGACAGGACTCCTCGAGCTCTTCCCTGCATTTCCGCTGACGACTAGATTTTCACGCGCACGGCGCCACCAGCATTGCGAGGCACTAAGGCGTCTTAGATGTGCTTTTCCTGATGCCTCGTTCGTTCCCTTGACACTGGCTATCTCGCTTTCCCTGAAACCGGAGAATCATCACAGCGTAGTCATGGCGCCCGCCGTTTCTTCTTTTATTCCCCCTCTCTCCTCCCTCCCTATTCCCACCTTAATCCGCGAATCCCGCTCGCGACGACTCCCCTCCGCACTCTTTTCGCGCGGCGCCGTCTCTAATCTCCTCCTCCTCGTCGTCGCCGTGCTCCTATTCGCCGTCCGATTAACTCCGCCAGTCGCCGCCTTACCTCACTACGGCGCCGTCCCCGGCGGAAGCTGCCCCATGAATGATTGGTCCGAAAACGGCTACTGGGGCGCGCTCGAGGTGCGCACGCAAGTCGCGCTCGCCGTGGCGCAGGAGTGGCGCGACGCGGCGAACGAAGCGCTGGGAAAATTCGAGCCGCTGCAGCTGCTGGTGGCGGCGCTGCTCGCGGCGGTGGTCGGGGGGAAACTCGCGCAAGTCGCGGGTGCTGCTGCTGCGCAGATCCGGTACCAAGGTGCGCGGATGCGGTCTACAGTCGCGCCGATTCAATTCAAAATCCCGCAGATTCGGTCTAAACTCTCGCGGATTTGGTCAGAGGCGACTATTTAAGGAATAGCCTCCAATAGACCCGCTTCAGGGCCGAATCTGCGGTGGTAGTCGGAGATTCAGAACGATATTGTCGTCGTTAAAGCGTCTGATGGTCCGAACTGATCTTTGAGTCGACTGAGAAACCAAATGGCCGTGTTCCTCCGTCTCATCTCTTGAGTCGACTGCAAATGCTGCTACTATCCGCGTGGCCGTTTTGCTTCGCCATCTCATCACATGCACAGCACATGGGTCGTTTTCGTCCCTCCCATCCCATCCCATCCCCTCATTCCATCCCAACCAATACCTTCCGATTCCTCCCCATCCTCCTCGGTTCTTGTGTGTCGCCCGAATACCAGGCCTAGTACCCTCTCTAATTGCCCTCTTCTTCTCCCTCATCAGGTGAATCCCCTGTGGACCCCTCGTTGTCCTTTGACTCGTTAGTGCACCACTCGTTTCAGGCATGCATCACTTCCTGTGCATTCATTCACTCATTCACTGAGCCCCTAACTCATTTATTCGTCAAACTTATTTCTCCAGCTGTTACATTCTCGAAACGTTTCTCTTCTTCCCGAAAGACTTGCACACCTCCTCCTCCTCACTCACTCACTCACACTCTCCCTCCTATCCCCTCCCTTACTTTCGCCCCTCCTCCCCCATCCATGTCTCTCCAGGCTTGTTCCAGGCGTGAAGGCCTACGTGGAAGAGCAGCAGGCCAAGGTACGCGTGTGTGATAGCACGGCTCTACCCTTGCAGATCAAAGCGAGGTTTCTGGGCAGCAGCAGCAGCAGCAGCAGCAGCAGCAGCAGCAGCAGCAGCAGCAGCAGAATGCACGTGCTGCTGCTGGTGGCCCTGGCTATGGCTTCACGAGCAGTACTAGAAGGAGGCGCAGGCAGTGGCTACTGAGTAACAGGGAGGCAGGGTAGGGGGGATGTGCTGAGCAACCTTTTGAGTCGGCTCAAAGGGGCCACTGAGCACCAGGGGAGCAGTGGATGGTGCGCTCAGTATAGGTCAGTAAAGGTCAGTATAGGGGCTCTAGAAAGTGTCAGTTGATTGGCCTTTGAGTAGAGGAGGTGGTGCTGGGCGGTGCTGAGCGGCGATGGGCGGTGCTGGGCATAGAAATCCAGGCAGGGGCATCTTTTTGCGCCTCATTCCTCCCCCCTTCCCCACGCTCCCCTCCGCGCGTCCCTCTCCCCCGCGCCCCTTCCCCCCTCCGCGCCTGCAGGCCAGGGCGCAGATAGCGGGGGGCGGCAGCAGCAGCAAGGAGCGCGCGCAGTGGCGGAAGAAGCTCCCAGACGTGGGCGCGGAGGCGGACGAGGTGCTTGGGGAGATGCGTGCGCTGAGGGATAAGGACAAGCAGTGGCAGGGGCGGTGCTCTGGGACCGTGTGAGTGGGAGGAGAGGGGATAGAGCGGGTTGGGGGGGATGTGGTGGGGGGATAGAGGCCTGGTTGGCGGACGAGGTGCTGGGGGAAATGCGCGCTCTGAGGGAGAAGGACAAGCAGTGGCAGGGGCGCTGCTCTGGGACCGTGTGAGTGGGAGGAGGGGAGGAAAAGGTGAGGGAGGGAGGGAAAGAGGGAGGGAGGGTGGGAGGGAGGGAAGTGGGAGGGAAAGAGGGAGGGAAAGGGGGAGGGAGGGAGGGAGGGAGGGAGGGAGGGAGGGAGGGAGGGAGGGAGGGAGGGAGGGAGGGAGGGAGGGTGGAAAAGAGGGAGGGAAAAAGGAAACGGAAGTGCCTATGGATGAGAAGCCCTTTGTTCCAGGTGTGTTTTGAGTCGACTCAACACACACCTGGCTTGTACACACAACTGCCACGCTGTTAAAAAATCCAGTTTTTCTTGTTCCCTCCCTTTCTTCATTCTTCCTTCCTGCTGGTGGTCCCTCTCGTCCCACCCACCTCGTTTCCCTCCCTACGTCCCTGACCTTTCTTACCGCTACTGTATTGCTGCCCTGCCCATACTCACACCTTTGCCAAATCAAGTACTATCGCCCTCAACCCCCTTCTCACCCCGCCTCACTCCCCCTCCCCTACTCGCCTACCTCCCTCGCTCCCTCTCTAATTCCCTCCTCACTCGCTTCTCTTCATATTCCCCCCCCCCCCCATCCCACCCCCCCGTCCCTCATCCCTCATCAGCTAGCTATGTGACCGCAAATCCTTGTGTTATTCATACGAAGGCCTCTCCTCTTCCCATTCCCCTGTCTCCCATCCCTCCCCACTCCCCTCTTCCTTCCCCATATTCTCCCCCTTCTCTCGCTCTCTCTTCCCGTGTTCCCTCCCTCTCTTGCTCCCAACCAGCTATGTGGGCGGGGAGTCATACGAGAAGCACATGAAGCTGATATCAGATGCGTACACCTTGTGAGTGGCTGTTTGCGGTTGGGAAGAGGGTGTAAGAGGGTTGTAAGGCCGCATCACCATGTAACCGGGTGTGGGTTTGGGCATGTGCGTGCGACTGTTGAGGCACATCAAGGCGGGGCCCAGCCCAGCCAGTCACATGATGGAAATCAATCAACGCGTGCAATGCAATGTCTCGTTTCGGGTGCATGATGCAATGTCTCAGCATTGAGCCCCTCTCAGCATTGAGCCCCTCTCAAGCTGTCCAAAACAGCATCCTCTCACCCTCCTCATCTTCTCCACCCAGCCAGGTTTCAGCACAGCAGCCCACCCTTCGCACCTGGCCGTCTTCCCCAGCATAGCTCGCTCGTTTCCTCTTCCTTTTGTCTATCTTTCCCCCTCCCTTTCCTACCCCTCCTTTTTCCTCCCTCCCACTCCTCTCTGTCCCCCCTCCTCGCCCTTTTCGTTCTCCACCCCCCCAGGTTCCGGCACACCAACCCCTTGCATCCAGACGTCTTCCCCAAAGCATCACTCGCTCTTTTCCCTCTGTCTAACTTCCCCCCTCCTCTTCCCACCCCCTCCTTTCTTGCCTCCTCCCCTCCACCCTCCCCCCCCCCCCAGGTTCCAACACACCAACCCCTTGCATCCAGACGCCTTCCCCAGCATCACTCGTTCTTGTCCTTCTTCCCTCCATTCAACCTGCCCCCTCCATTTTCCACCCTTCCTTTCCTCCTCCTATCCCCCCCCCACAACCCCCCCAGGTTTCAGCACACCAATCCCTTGCATCCAGACGTCTTCCCCAGCATCACTCGCTTCGAGGCGGAGGTGGTTGCAATGACGGCGGCCCTGCTGGGGGGAGGAGATGGGGGGGGGAGTGATGGCAGGGCGGAGCAGGGGGGAGAGAAGGGGGCGGGGGATGCGGGGGGGAAGGGGGGGAAGGGGGTTAAGGGCGGAGCGAAAGGGGAGAAGGGAGGGGCGGGGAGGGAGGTGTGTGGGAACATGACGAGTGGGGGATCGGAGAGTATTCTGATGGCTGTGAAGGCGGCTAGGGATTACATGCGTGCCAAGAAAGGCATCACTCGCCCCGAGATGTGAGTGCTGCTGCTGATGCTGCTGGTGGTGCTGGTTGTTCCAGTTACCGCGTATGTGATTCCAGTTACCGCGTATGTGATTCCAGTTACCGCGTATGTGATTCCTGACGCATGTTGTCCACACAGGATAGTGCCGGTGTTTGCGCATGCAGCGAATGATAAGGCAGCGGAGTACTTCACCCCACCCTTCCCCACCCTTGCTCTACCAGACTATTCTTCTTCTTCCTCTCACCCTCCCTCACCCTTGCACCTATGCACCCACGCACCACCCACGCACCACCCACGCACCACCCACGCACCACCCACGCACCACCCACACACCACCCACACAGGATAGTTCCCGTGTCAGCGCATGCAGCGTACGACAAGGCAGCGGAGTACTTCCAGGTGCACCTGCTGCGCGCCCCCGTGGCGGACGACTGGTGTGTGGAGGTGGATGCTGTGCGGCGCCTCTGCTCCCGCAACACCGTGCTGGTGAGAGCTTTGTGTGTGCCTTTGGACTCGTGAGGGCTTTTGACTTTTGCTTTCTGTCATTGCCCTTACAATCTCTTTCTCATGGTCTGTGAGAGTAAGTCTCTGCTCTTATTCCAAGCACTATTGTTGCATTCTCTCCACGGCTGAGGTGCATCAGAATCCGTTTCAAGTCCTTCCCCTCCTCTTCTTCTGAGAATTCTCAAAAGCGTTTCAAGTCCTTCCCCTCCTCTTCTTCTCCCCCATATCCTCCCTCTCCCTCCTCTCGTCACTCTCCTCCCTCTCCTCACTCTCCTCCCTCTCCTTCCTCTCCACCCTCCCCCCCTTGTCCTCCTCCCCCTCCACTCTCTACCATGCAGATCGTGGCATCAGCACCTGGCTTTCCACATGGCATCATCGACCCCATTCCGGTATGCGTCCTTGGCAGTGCACACTGTGTGCGCTCATCACATGTGTGTGCGCTCATTATATTTACCACTGCCCTCCCCACTGCCCTCCCCACTGGCCTCCCGCCGTTCCCACTGCCCTCCCTACATCCACCCGATCCCTTTGGCAGGAGCTGGGCGGGATAGCAGTGCGCTGGGGCACGTGTCTGCATGTTCCTTCCAATGGACTCAACAGTCCCTCCTTGCATCCCATTCTCCCCCCCTGCATCCCTCCCACCCGATCCCATTGGCAGGAGCTGGGCGGGATAGCACTGCGCTGGGGCACGTGCCTGCATGTGGACTGCTGCTTGCTTGTACAGCAGTCACCTCCTGCTTTTCTTTTCCTCTCTCCCTGCTACCTTTCCACTGACAGGAGTTGGGTGAGATAGCACTGCGCTGGGGCACGTGTCTCCATGTGGACTGCTGCCTCGGAGGCTTCGTGCTGCCCTTTGCCAAGAAACTCGGGTCCGTTCTGCCATCCCCATCGCCCCTTCCGCCATCCCCATCGCCCCTTCCGCCATCCCCATCGCCCCTTCTGCCATCCCCATCGCCCCTTCCGCCATCCCCATCGCCCCTTCCGCCATCCCCATCGCCCCTTCCGCCATCCCCATCGCCCCTTCCGCCATCCCCAATCGCCCCTTCCGCCATCCCCATCGCCCCTTCCGCCATCCCCATCGCCCCTTCCGCCATCCCCATCGCCCCTTCTGCACTTCCTCTCTCCCTTATCGCCCTTTCCATTCCCCTTCCACCTCCCCCTCTTACCTTCCGCAATATCCTCTTACCCTCCTACCTCCTCGTCTCGAATGGTCCTTTCCCCTAAACCTTCGTCTCTCTCTCCTCCAACCACCCTCTCCTCCTCGCTCCCCATCCCCGCTCTCTTCCCCTGCACCCCTCCGCACCCCCCACACACGTGCCTTTCTCTCCGTCCCCACCCCACTGCAACCCTGATCCACCTCCCCCCCCCCTGCTATTCCGTTTGCCACTGTTTGCTTCTCCATCTGCCTCTGCCTCTGCCTCTGCCTCTGCCTCTGCCTCTGCCTCTGCCTCTGCCTCTGCCTCTGCCTCTGTCTCTCCCACCTTCCTCCCCACATCTCCCTCCCTCGCCTCCCCCATCCCTTCTTCCTCTGCTTTCTCCCCTTTGCCCTCCGGTCTCCCTCCCACCCCTCCCCTCCAACCCGCCAGCTACCCCCTGCCGCCCTTTGACTTCTCAGTCCCTGGAGTGACGTCCATGTCTGTGGACTGCCATAAGTACGGCCTCGCTCCAGAGGGCAGCCTTTAACACACTGCCTTCCCCTCCCTTTCTCTCCTCCCCCTTCTCCCAGCTACCCCCTGCCGCCCTTTGACTTCTCAGTCCCCGGAGTGACGTCCATGTCTGTGGACTGCCACAAGTACGGCCTCGCTCCCAAGGGCACGTCTGTGGTGCTGTATCGCAATAGGGAGATCAGGAAGGTGAGGATGGGGGCTGGGTGAGGAGGGCGGAAGGTGAGGATGGGGGCTGCCATGTTGGGTGCCTTTAGTTGAGTGCTGCTCCCAAGGGGACGTCCGTGGTGCTGTATCGCAACAGAGAGATGAGGAAGGTGAGGTTGGGGGGTGGGAATGGGGGGGAAGGGGCAGGGATGGGGGCGAGGGACTGACATCGCTCCCAAGGGCACGTCCGTGGTGCTGTATCGGAACTGGGAGATCAGGAAGGTGAGGATGGGGGGTCGGGATGTGGGAGAGGCGGGACTGGTGGGGCTTGTGGGCAGGCAACTGACACCACACCCAAGGGCTTGTATGCAGAGCACGTGTGTGCCATGTTACATACTTATATTGCTTGCATGGTGCTTCTCCCCCTCGCCCCTCGCCCTTTGCCTTTCGCCCTTTGCCATTCTCCCCTCGCCCCTCACCTGACCCTCATCTTTACCTCGCCTGTTCTCTCGCCTTTCCCCGTCTTCCCTGCATTTCTCCCTGTGTCTCCTTCGCCAATACCAACCAACACGCGTCTTGATCAACGCTTATCCACCACGCTATCAGCATCAATTCTGTGCTGGTGAGAGGAGAGTTTTGAGTCGACTCAAAAGTCATTCTGTGCTGGTGAGAGGAGAGCCTGTTGAGTCGACTCAAAAGCATCAATTCTGTGCTGGTGAGAGGAGAGCCTGCTGGTGAGAGGAGAGCCTGTCGCTCGTGGAAGCTACAACCATATTTTGTTGCCATGTGTGCCATGTGTACCATGTGTGCCATGTGTGCCATGTGTGCCATCTGTGCCATGTGTGCCTTGTGTGCCATGTGTGCCATGTGTGCCATGTCTGCCATGTGTGCCATGTGTGCCATGTGTGCCATGTGTGCCATGTGTGCCATGTGTGCCATGTGTGCCATGTGTGCCATGTGTGCCATGTGTGCCATGTGTGCCATGTGTGCCTTGTGTGCCATGTGTGCCATGTGTGCCATGTGTGCCATGTGTGCCATGTGTGCCATGTGTGCCATGTGTGCCATGTGTGCCATGTGTGCCATGTGTGCCATGTGTGCCATGTGTGCCATGTGTGCCATGTGTGCCATGTGTGCCATGTCTGCCATGTCTGCCATGTCTGCCATGTCTGCCATGTGTGCCATGTGTGCCATGTGTGCCATGTGTGCCATGTGTGCAATGTGTGCCATGTGTGCCATGTGTGCCATGTGTGCCATGTGTGCCATGTGTGCCATGTCTGCCATGTGTGCCATGTGTGCCATGTCTGCCATGTCTGCCTTGTGTGCCATGTGTGCCATGTGTGCCATGTGTGCCATGTCTGCCATGTGTGCCATGTGTGCCATGTGTGCCATGTCTGCCATGTGTGCCATGTCTGCCATGTCTTCTACCTGTTCAGGGTGTATATCACAGCATTGATCAATTAACCACCACTCTACAGCCCACGTGCTGCTATCTCTACCTGTCCTCTCAGTGGAGTTACCACACCATTTTCACTGAACAGCAGACCACCCTCGATCCACCCCCTCAGCCCTTGAGATTTTCAACCCACCATCTGCGCCCTCCCACCTCTTCTTCCCCCTCCCCACTCACCCCTCCCCCATCGCCCTCCGCCCCCCACTTTTCCCCTACCACCTACCCCCTGGCCCCACCCCTCGTGCAGTGACGGAGTGGAGTGGCGGGCTGTACGTGTCTCCCACTGTCTCTGGCAGTCGCTCAGGGGCTCTCATTGCTGGTGCCTGGGCTGCAATGAGAGGCATCGGCATGCAGGGTGGGTGGAGTGCAGTGGAATGTGGTGGGGTGCGGGATGTGCACTGGTGTGTGGGTGGAGTGCAGTGGAATGTGGTGGGGTGCGGGATGTGCACTGGTGTGTGGGTGGGGGATGGTCGGTTCAGGTGGTAGGTGCTGTGTGGCGTGGGGAGAGGCGTGTGGAGTGGTGTGCTGGGTAGAGTGCTTAGTGACGTGCTTTGTGGTATGCAGCTGTGTGTTTTCTGCCTCCACCACTTGTTCTGATGCTCTCATTGTTAGGGCTGTGCTGCTGTGAGGAGCGTTGGGTTGCCTGGTGGCTGTGCTGTGCTCTCCTCCCTTTTCCACCCCTCCCGTCTCCTGCCGTCCCTTTCCCTCCCCTCCTCTCTCCTCCTCTCACCTCCTTTCCCCTCCTCTCACCTCCTTTCCCTCGCTCTCTCCTCCTCTCCTCTCCTCTCCTCTCCCTGTCCAGCTTCCGCAAGGTTACATGGATTATAAACATTGACGCCCTAAAATCTTTTCTCTCCGCTTACTGTGCCTCTCCCTATCCCTTCCTTTCCACCAGTCCGGCAGCATGGGCATTAAAATAAAGCTCTTCTTGAATCACCTCAAACACCCTTTCCTTCCCCTTCCCCTGTCCCCCACTCTCCTCCCCCTTCGCTCTTACTCTCCCCTCCCACGCCCCACCAGGATACATGGACATCACAAAACGGCTAATGGAGGCATCAAAAGCAATCGTGGCAGGGTAGGTGGACAGGTGGTTTGCTGTTCTTGTGTTGCTGTGCCGTGCCGTGCTGTGCCGTGCCGTGCTGTGCCGTGCCGTGCCATGCCGTGCCGTGCCATGCCGTGCCGTGCCGTGCCATGCCATGCCGTGCCATGCAGTGCCGTGCCGTGCTGACGTTGACATGTATGCCACCTTCACTCACTCGTAGTAGTGCTGTCTTTTGAGACGTCTTACAAGTCATCACCTGTCTTCTGAGACGTCTTACGAGGCATCACCCTACTCCTCTCAAACCCTCTCCCCCTCCCCCTCCCCACACACACACACACACTCACACCAGGGTATCGTGCATAAAGGGTCTGCAGGTGGTGGGGGAACCGGACATGACAGTCATAGCAATGACATCCGATGAGTTAGACATTTACCGGGTCAATGATGCCATGTCACACCGCGGATGGGCCCTCTCCGCCCTGCACAAACCAGCCAGGTGAATGCTCCTCTACCCCCTTGCACCCCTCTCCACCCCCCTGCACGCACCTGCACTCCCTCCTTATCCGTCCTCGCCCCTCTGCACCCCTCCTTGCCCGCGTCTGGCATGCAGCATTCACCTGTGTGCAACGCTGCAGCATGTGGTATAAGGCTGATTGCCCCTTTACCCCCCTCCACCACTCTCCACCCACCCTTCCCAACGTGCAGGCATTCACCTGCGTGTGACGCTGCAGCATGTGGCCCAAGAATTATTGCCCCTCCACCCCCCCTTCCACCCTGCTCCACGCCCCTCCACCACTCTCCACCCCTCTGGACATGCAGCATTCACCTGTGTGTGACGCTGCAGCATGTGGCTCCAGACTAATCGCTCTGCCCCTCTCAACCCCTGCCACCCTACTCCACCCCCTCCACCGCTCTGCACCCCTCCCAACATGCAGCATTCACCTGTGTGTGACGCTGCAGCATGTGGGTGTGGTGGATGCCTTCCTGGCAGACCTACAGGCGGCTGTGGATGAGGTGAGGGGGAGGGGTGGGGGCAAGGCTGGGGGGGCGGGAGGACCAGTGGGGGGGGAAGGCTGGGGGGGCGGGATTGGGGGGTAGAGATGTGGGTGTGGTGGATGCCGTCCTGGCAGACCTACAGGCGGCTGTGGATGAGGTGAGGGGGAGTGGGGCGTGAGGGGGAGGGCTGGGGAAGCGGGGGGGGAGGCTGGGAGGCCAGCAGGGGGGGAAGGCTGGGGGGGATCGAGATTGGGGGGGTAGAGATGAGGGAGTGTGGGGGGGGAGGGGGGGGAAAGGGGGGGGAGGCTTGGCGGCCGGGAGTGGGGGGTAGTGATGGGGGTAGTGGTGGGGCCAATGGGGGGGAAGGAGATGGAGCTGGGGAGAGGATTGGGGGGGGGTTGACAGCGGCACGAGTGGCAGCAATCATCACGAGCCACTAAGGGCTTGCGATATTTGGAGCTTCAAAGCCTTTTGTCCATGAGTGATGACTGGTGATGACTGCAGGTCGCAACGGAGTCCTTGGCTATTTCATCCCTCTCCTCGCCAAAATCCTCCTCTTCTGACTGAATAGAATCCTCCTGTATCGATTCCTATTCCTCTCCCTCATCCGATTCCGTATGCCTCCCTTCCCTACCATCCCCCACCTGCCTATGTTTGCCACACGATGCTTATCGCACCCTTCCCCTGCTCCCCTCCTCCCCCACCCCACTTCCTCCCATTCTCAGGTGCGCTCATCACCCTCTTCCTCATCGCAAGGCATGGCTCCCATATATGGTGCTGGTAACCGCATGCCGGATAGAGGAGCTGTCAAGGAATTGCTGCTGGACTATATGGACTCCCTCACATAGGTTCGTGGTCTAGTGAGCTCCTGCCGCCCTCTTGTGCAAAGAAACATGTCTGCATTCTTTGCCTTTTCAAATGATAGAGGACGGTTTTCAAATGGCTTGAACTGCATATCTCCGGAAGATAACAGTATACATAGGACCACAGATTGGCAGAAGATTGTGTGCACTCTCCAAAATAACAATAACAATAATAATAATAATACTAAGGGTGCGTTCCTGTGGAGACACTTGTGTCTCAATCCCCTTTTTTCCGAGTCGCGTCTACACATTTTTGCAATCTCGCGTCACAAAAAATGAGTGTATCACGAAACTGTGCGACCAGGCGGAATTTACAGCTGTGCTCATTTGATTGGATTTCAAACTTGACTGAACACCTGCTTCTTCAACTGTCTGGTTCGGGTGGGGTTTTGACGAGCGGAACTTTTTCCCGTGCGAGATTTTTACTGTGGAATGTCCAGGTGCATTGACATTTCGAACCGCGTACAGAGTTGTTGACAATGACGTGTCGATACGCAACTCGTCCGCGACATCAGCGCGTTTCACGCTGACAATTGAAAAATACATTAAAAGTCGCACAAGGGCGACACGCGTTTGTGACACTGTACGTTATAAGCTGGTTTTACGCGTCACAAAAGGATTGAGACACAAGTGTCTCCACAGGAACGCACCCTAATACTAATAATAATAATAACAAGACTAATAATAATAATAAGTATTGTGCGCGGCATGCGAATAAAAGACGGATTCCATGTGACGTGCAGCCCTGCAGGTAAGGAGATTGGAATGCATGAGTTGGAATATAAGTATTCTTCCGTTAACAGATACAATGATTGTTTTGTTATCCTGCGTTACAGGCTGTGGGGTAAGGTCGTACTTTTGTCAAGATTATCCCACGGCCGATCTTTGCTGACGCCCCATAGCCAGCTTCACTCGTGGCAAATCCTCTGAAGCGAATGATATCGAAACAGCGTGGAATGGAACCCCATCGGCTTTTGACGATGCGCACAGCTCAGCCACAAGACCAGGGAGCGACTCGTATTCAGAATCTACTCTCATCCACGCCACCACTCCTCGAACACGCTGCTGCTGATCTGCCTCTCTCGCTCTCCCTCGCTTTCGCTCGCAGACTGGGACGTATACATTGGATGTTGCAGTCGAGTTGCGGTGCCAATTCTCGGCCTCCAACGTGGGAGACTGTGATCTCTAGTTTACCTCATTCAAACTGGCTGTTCTGCTGAAAACAAGTTTCCCATACAGTAATCTTATGTAACGTCAATCCAACTCCTTCTGAACTTCCACAGCAAACACGCCCCGCAAAAAACCCAGAAAGTGCGACAGCTTTTAGCCCCACCCGTGTTGCTTGAACGTACACACCCCATAAACTGTTTTCCATCTCCTATCGGCTTCGACCAGCAAGCACTTGTTGGTGGCACCACCGCATTCCACCTAAGTCATCCAGCATCATCTGTAATCCCGCATTCCGAGCCCTCCATCGCAAAGCAGCCTGAGCTTCGTGCAAATGGCGTGCGTTTTCCAACAAGCCGCCTCACTGTCCAGCCTCGCCGCCTCTTGCGGAGGCCAAAGCGGCGCGCTCAAACATGCGGAACCCGCCAAAGCTGCCTTCCCAATCAAAGCCTCCCCGTCTGTTGTTTGCTCGGCACAACGCAAATTGAATGAGGTGAGGAAACGGCATTGGACATATGTCCTTTACTTTTGACTAAAACAAAATGGCAAACCCGTCGTGACTTTTGGGTTGTCCCCCCTCCACAGCGGCTTCATACTCTCACTGTTTTCAAACGGCTCGCAACATTGTTTCTCTTTTGGGGGAAGGTGGCCTTCGTGTTCTGGAAGCCCCTGTTGAACGGTGCTCATGTGAAATTAATGAGAATAGCTTTGTAATGAAGCGTAGGACGCACGCAAGAGGAGGAGTGAAGCTTTGACCTCGAGAGTCTGCTGAATTACCCAACTGCATGCCGCATCTGGATTACTAACCTTGGTCGTGGTTACCTTGCCCTTTTTCACCAAGCCTTTTCAAGTTGATTCACTTACCACTGCTGTTAACACGCGAATAGCGTGCAGTTGGTTCCAATACAGTGCTTTTGGCCAGAAAGCATGCCTTCGTGTTTCGACAGGAAAATATCCTTGCCTTTTCCTTCCTGAACCCTTTGTATATTTTCATAGCCGATCGCACCATTGCGTTCCTATGTGCTCATGTCCCCTCCAACTTGCCAATGTTACCACGACCTTCAGGCACCAATCACACGCCGCCACCTGTCCCTCCTCGTCGCCACTTCCTCCGTCGCTCTCTCCGCCCTCACCCTCCCCGACTCCGCCTCCGCTCGTTCCCGCGACGAGGGCAAGCGGGAGGCGCTGGAGCGTGTCCGCGAAGAGGCGCTGGCCCGTCAGCGTGAGGCGGAGGCCGCCGCGGCAGCGGAAGCAGCGGCGGAAGCGGAAGCAGCCGCAGCAGCAGAAGCAGCCGCAGCAGCGGAAGAAGCAGCAGTAGCGGAAGCCGCGCAAGCTGCAGAGGCAGCGGGAGAAGGCGCGGCGGAAGCAGCTGCGGAAGACGCCGCCCCAGACGGTGGCGCTGAGATTGTCGAAGAAAAATCAGAGACTAGCGGAGAGGCGGTGGGGGAAGGATCGGGGGCGGATGCTGCTCCTGCTGATGCAGGGAAGGAGGACGCTAGTGACGCCAAGGGTCTAAACCCTCGGGAAATGATGGGGGATATGATGGAAGATGTGATGGACATGGTCGATGATATGATGGACGGCGTCTCGTCCCTTATGGACAAGCTGCGGTCACTCACCCCTCCCAAAGGATCGTCGTAGATGATGGGTGTGTAAGCTGATTCGCTTCACTTGCCAAGGCTTGGCTGTTTTGGAGTTCAGCTGGACAATTCCTTGTGTCTGTTATTCGTTGGGCATTTCAAGTTTGATTAGGGTTGATAAAGAGCCTGGAATTAGATGTAGAGTTGATCAAGAGAAAAATCAAAGCAGTTACACGCCCTTACAAGGTATCCATGAATCTCAGCACAGCAGTTATTCCTCCATGTGCCATGCCATCACTACTAGATCAGTTAGGCACAGGCAACACAAAACTAGTATGGCGCCTAGTGCTATCTAACTGGGGAGAGCATATATCCCCAGAACCCTCTGTTGTCAACAATGGAACTTCAACAGTGGAACTCCCCAGAACCCTCTGCTGCTGCTCCTGCTGCATCGACAATGCACTGTATCGTTGGTATATTCCTCGAACATAACCGCACGCTGTCACTACGTTACGCGCCCAGACCAACTTCAGTTATCGTCATCGTCGTCACCATCGTCATCCTTGTTCTTGTTACCATTCGCCCCATTTCCTCTACTCGAATTCCCCTTCTTCGACCCTCCACCCACTCCAGCTGGCTTATGACGATCACGCCCATTACCGTTTGTCTTAGGAGCAGGTGGGGATACCGAGGCAACAGGTTTTCCTCCCCCCGTCTGCCCGCCGGGGGTACCAGACGCACCGTCAGCAACGGGTCCGCGTTTCTTCCCCCTTCCACCAGAACTAGCCGGAACGTTCCCCGTCCCTTTGTTCGGGGCAGAACCACTCGCCTTCGGAGCAGGCACGGGAGCAGTCTTAGGAGCAGGCACGGGAGCAGTCTTAGGAGCAGGCACGGGAGCGGTCTTGGGAGCAGGCTTAGGACCAGGCTTGGAAGACGGCTTGGTAGGCACAGGCTTGGGAGAAGGTGTGGTGGCAGGCGTAGGAGAAGCAGCTGGTTTTTTTCGGCCGCCGCCCTTGCCGTTCCCGTTGTTGACCAATCCTCCCACGCCTCGAACCAGTGCGTTAGGGTCTACAATCCAGCCTCCCTGATTCACGTAATTGATTGACGAATAAGGCGCCGCTTCGGCAGCAGTCATCACTTTCGCGAAAGACTCCCATCCCGTCGTATTGTAACCCGGTCCGTAGCACCCGTACGCGCCGAACGTGAGAGAATCCGTATCCTCGTAACCGCTCACGAAACCCCAGCCCTCGGCCCTAACCGATCCAGCGGCGAACATCGTATTGACGAAAACAACAGTGGAGTAATCCCCCCACGACCGCGCGAGATACCCGGGTTTAATAGGCCCTTTTCCAAAGGGCTTTAAGGAGCCTCCCAGGACAACGAAGCCGGTGTCCTGGCCCTTGTCGCGCGCCTGCGCGAAGTAGCCGCCGCCCCAGTAGACAAGGCGGAACTTGCAGTCGTGGAAGAGAGCCTTGGCATTGCCGAACACGAAATCCACGCGGCCCTGGATGACTGGCGGATTGTGAGAGGCGGGGAGTGGGGGTTGGCGGGGGAAGCGGAGGAGGCGGGGGAGGCGGGAAAAGAGATGAGATGCATGGGAAGACGCATGCGCAGATAGGCGGAAGAGACACGAGCAAGGCGGCAAAGCAGGGCTTGGGTGGAAGTACGTACTGCAATTCTTGTAGTATTGCAGGCCGATTGTAGCGTAAAGAGTATCCTGGACGGATCGCAACGAGGGAGAGGAGCGGGGAGGTAAAGCCAAAGAAAAAAGGGGCAGATTGAGTAGGGGCTACTAGGGGTAGACAATAGCAGGAGATAAAATCAATGGAACCAAGAGAGTACAGAAGTAGAAGAACAAGGTCAGGCAAATGGACGAAGCGAATGTGTACGGATAAAAGTGGCAACATTTTTTTCCACAACTTACGCAGCTCGCAGGGATCGCAGAGCTCAGGCATTTCTCAAACTTCGAGAGGTTCGCGGGGAAAAGCAAAGTTCAGATCCTCACCTGGTATCCGAGGAAGGTGCATCCGTAAAAGGCCACTCGCGTGCCGGCCACCTTCATCGCCACGGCTTGGTCCTCGTCGCTGTGACATTTACACAGAGCGCACATGCCAGAACCAGATAAACAAACGTAAAACGTGAGACCCAGAAAGAACCAGAAGCGCTTGTTTTCTTGGTTATCCAAGGCCGCGCGTGACTGATACGGGCGGGGATAGCATGTGAGACACGCGCGAGAAAGGAGGCAGGCACTGCACTGCATCGTTCTGTTCCGCGCGCCCGTGCACGTCGTCCCCCTTGTCCGCGGGTTCCCCGCGCTCTCGCGGATTTCCGCGCGATCGCTGGTGCTTCTTACCCGCCCTGCTCGCCCGGTCCGTGCGCGTTTTCGAAGATGATGTTGGAGATGACCACGTCTGAGGCCAGCAGCCGAAACGTCGCGCACTCGTCCAGACTCGAGTCGCCCGCCGCTCCCGACGACGTTATCTTCACGCCGCTGCCGGCCCTCTCGCCCACCAGTCCAATGAACCGGAGGTTCGCGGGCAGCTGAAACAACAGGCCGCAAGATGTGAATATGAGTGATAGAGAGGTGGTTGGTGTAAACGCCGACGGTTTTCGAATAGCGGCGACGACTTACGCTGAGCCCCAGACCCGTGAAAACGGAAAGCGAGAGCGAAGGAAGAAATGGATGTACAGAAGGTGTGGTGGAGGAGACGCACCGTGGGCTGTTCCTCGTAGATCCCAGCCTTGATGAAGATAACGAAGAAACGGTTGCGATTTCCCGATCTCGCCGCGGTGAATGCTTCCTGTCAGGAGGCGGGGGAGGAGACAAGAACGAATGGCTATGAGTTGGCGGACGTAGCTGGCGACAGCGAGGGGGGAAGTTGAGAAACAACGCGATTTGATTTGTCGTTGCGCGAAGTGCGGCTGACTAGCAAAGGAAACTGGGTACCTCGGGAGCTGAAAAAATGGTCAGTACTGAGCTTAAGAATACTGAACGGAAACGGAAACGGAAACGGACCTGGATGGTAGTATATTGGCCAGTTCCGTCCTTTGCCACGATGATGTCCGCACCAGCTCCCCCAGCGGCCGCGGCATCCACCCGCGGTTTCTTAGCTCCTGCCCTTGATGCTAACAGCAGTGCGACGACCGCAATGAGGAGACAGACGCGCATCGCCGAGGGGGGCTGCCTCGCAGCCATCGCGAGTTTTGGGGGTTGCGAGGTTCGCAAGAGAGTGGTTTTTATCGTGCGAATATATAAATGCTCTCACGCTCATGTACAAATGAAGAGCGGTATAGGGTCTAGGTAAGTTGAGGAGGTCAGTGCTACCTGCGGCCACTACGACTCCAAAAATACTCTTGGCAAGCTCTGCACTCGCCCATCCAGTGGGGAAATAGAGGTGGGGAGATTGGGTGGAGCACGGTTGCGACCACCGCAAAATTTTAGTTGCGGCTGCAAGCTGGGCAGGAATTGCGCCCCGATCAATGTCGTGGGGTGAATGATCGATCGAATCGGAGAGATCGGAGAATTGCGATGCATCGGAAATGCGCGATGCGAGGGATGCGCGCTTCGAAGTGGGAAGTGTTGGGTTGGGTGCAATCGAGATGCGCGCTTCGAAGTGGGAAGTGTTGGGTTGGGTACAGTCGAGGACCACGCCTGGGCTGGAAGCTGTTTGCGTCTCTTCGAGGTTGGAACGGACAGCCAACGTGGTCTAGCTGCCGCCCCAGTCGCAAGCATGTCGCACATGACAGCAAGAATTTGTTCCAACATGTGGCCCAGGTGGGACCTTGCGGTCTGGTCTTCCCTGGATCGCTCGACATTTCGCAGCGGTCTTCTCGGGAAGGCGAAAACTTGCGAGCTCCAATCAGTGCGTCGCACGCTCCCACGCCCAGAAACTGCACGACGCAAACGATTGGGGGAAGGCCAAACCCACGTATCTCCAATAGCACAGAGACAGCCATTGTCTGCACATAAAGTTCAAATTAATTACAACAAACAAATAACTGTTATGAGTTGTGAAAGAGAAGAGTGCGCAGAATGCAATAACGCAGAAGTGATGCAACGTCGAGCAACTAATGAAGCCTATGACTAATATAGCAGGGCTACCTAGGCGACGTTCGCGAGGTCGCGAGATGGTTGGGTGCAGGTTCGGGGTTGGAAAACCCGAACGCGATAAGATGGTGATTCGGAAGGCGAGGTCGTTAGACCGGGCCTGGTTTCCGAAAACTGGGTTGTACGCATAAAGTGTGAACCAGCAAGGAATCTGGGAAGAAACCCTACACTACCCTCCCCCCCTTTAAAAAAAGGTGGTATATATCCGGGACACCTCGACGCGTCAGGTATGCATCTATAACCAGATGACCTAGTAGCGAGTCAGCTGCGACGTACGTGTCGTCCTCGCTCGTGCGATCCTTCCAGCGAAGCAGGAAAATTATATTGCGTCCGGCAGCCGTTAACTCGACGCGATTGTTCAAGATCTTCTAGGGTTCAAGCATAGGCTCCGACATAGGCCGTGTGGGTGGCGCGATGGTGGGCCGAGCAACAGCTAGCGACTGTGGCGGCTCATAATGGCGCAGCAGGCTGACGTGGAACGCATCATGTATCTTCCAGTCGTCGGGCAATAGAAGCTTTGCGGTGACAAGTGTCACCACATGGACAATGTGAAATGGGCCGACGTATCTGGGTCGCAGTTTTGCAGGCAGCGGTGATCGTAGATTCTTGGTGTCCAGGAGGACTACTTGCAGAGGACGGAAGGGTAAATCGCGTCGGTGCTTGTCCTCATTGCGACTAGCCGTAATGGTAGCTTTGCGGATAAAATCAGCTGTTTTTTTGCGGGCGGTCTGTAATTCCGTGACGAACTGTTGCGATTGTGGTACCGGATTATCAAGGGTCGTTGAAGAGGATACAACAAGGTCTATCCCGTAATCCAGGTAAAACGGGAACTATTGAGTTGTTGCTGAAGGGGCGTTGTTTTACGCAAATTCCATCATCGGGAGCGAGTCTTCCCACTTGCTCAGGTCTAGACAGTTGGTGCGAATTAGCTGCTCCATTGTCTGGTTTGTCCGTTATGTCAGCTGTCGGTTTGCGGATGGTATGACGACGAAAACTGCAAGCGGGTGCCGTACTGCGCCCATGTCTCCTGCCATAACTTCGACGTGGATTTCGGATCTTGATCGTTGATAATCACCGAAGGTAACCCGAATAGGCGTACGACGGTGGAGATGAAGAGTTTTCCGGTGTCTTCGGTTGTGATCATCGTGCGGCATTATGCGAAATGCGCCATTTTCGTTAATCGATCAACGACGACCAACACCGAGTCGTTGCCATTCGTGCCAGCTAGAAGCCCTGTGACGAAATCCATCGTCACCTGTTGCCACGGTCGTTCGGGTGGCTCGAGTGGCTGAAGCAGTTCGACTGGCCTTTGTTGCAATAACTTTATTGCTTGGCAGGTCGGGCATGTTGTCACGCAGCGCTGCACGTCGGTCAGCATGTCGGGCCAATAGTAGTTATGCAGCAGTAGCTTGAGTGTCTTGTCGATGTCGAAATGCTCGGAAAGGTTGGAGTCGTGAACCTCCTGTCAAACATTATATATGTTGTGTTAGTTTAGGCTACAGTGGGTTAGCCTATAGGGGGTACACAATTCTAGGGTTAGGTACTTGTACTCATTTCACTGCTAGTTCATTCATTCCTGTTCAGTGATTCCAACATGGTATAGAGCAGGTCCTTCCTAGGACCGAAATCTTATAAGGGCCCACCACTACGTAACTACCTACCTACCTACCTACCTACCTACCTGTGCCCTAGGGCGCCTCGGCGTGTCACGCCCCTAGAGGCCCCTCTTTACGGCCCCGCGCTAGCCCCGTTCAGGCCCCGTCGGCCCCTTTAAGGCCCCGTTCAGGCCCCGCGCTAGCCCCGTTCAGGCCCCGTCGGCCCCGTTTCAGGCCCCGTCGGCCCCGCGCTAGCCCCTCTCAGGCCCCGTCGGCCCGCGCTAGCCCCGTTTCAGGCCCCGTCGGCCCCGTTTCAGGCCCCGTCGGCCCCGCGCTAGCCCCTCTCAGGCCCCGTCGGCCCACGCTAGCCCCGTTTCAGGCCCCGTTGGCCCACGCTAGCCCCGTTTCAGGCCCCGTTGGCCCCGTTTCAGGCCCCGTCGGCCCCGCGCTAGCCCATCTCAAGCCCCGTCGGCCCGCGCTAGCCCCGTTTCAGGCCCCGTCGGCCCCGCGCTAGCCCCTCTCAGGCCCCGTCGGCCCCGCGCTAGCCCCATTCAGACCCCGATTGGGCCCGCGCTAGCCCCGTTTCAGGCCCCGTCGGCCCCGTTTCAGGCCCCGTCGGCCCCGCGCTAGCCCCGTTCAGGCCCCGTCGGCCCCTTGCTAGCCCCGTCAAGGCCCCGTTTAGCCCCGCGCTAGCCCCGCTCAGGCCCCGATCGGCCCCGCGCTCGCCCCTCTAGGGCCCCAACCGGCCTTGTGCCGACCTCGCCGACCCGTGCCCACCACCTAGAGGCCCCGGGCGGCCCGTTCCCGCCGCAGCACACGAGGGAGAGCAAGCGGCCCGTCTCCGCCGTGACCCGAGCCGCGCGACCCGAGGGGCGCGCCCCGAGCCGAGCAGCGCGCCCCGAGCCGAGCCGCGCGCCCTGAACGGAGCCGCGCCACCCAGCCAAGCCGCGACCCGACCTGAACCGAGCCGCGCCGCCCTGCCCTACCTGGTTCGTCCTACCTGCTTCTCCTACTGCTACTGCTGATATTTCTACTGTTCCTATGGCTAGCCCACAGGTTCTCGTGTTCGATGCTGAGGGCCGCCCTGTGAACTTTGACACCTGGCTCGATGACATGCACCTCTACCTACACCTCACAGCCAAGGATGACATCTCACTGTACGATCACGCCCTAGGCCATGTCACTGCCCCTGCTGCTACTGCTGACAGCACTGCTCGCTCACATTGGCAGACTCGTGATGCCCACGCTCGCTTCGCCATTCGCAACTCCCTGCCGATAGACGAACGCGAGCACTTTAGTCAGCACAAGACTGCACAGGCACTGTACACAGCTGTAGTTGCTCGCTACTCCTCACCTGCCTCTGCCGCACTAGGCAGTCTCTCCCTCCCCTACCTGTTTCCTGACCTGGCCTCCTTTCACACAGTCGCTGACCTTATCACGCACCTCCGTACTAGTGAGGCCCGCTTCCGTGCCGCCATGCCTGCTGAGTTCCTTGCCACGCACCCCCCTCCACTTTGGCTCACTCTCTACCACCTAGTCACCTGCCTCCCTGACACACTGCGTGCTGTCAGGGACCACTTCCTAGCTCGTTGCCCCACTGAGCTCACCATTGCCCTCCTCGAGAAGGAGCTACTTGCAGCTGAGACTAGCATAGTTGCTGTAGGTGCCTCTCGTGGCGACCCCCGTACCCCGTTCTTTGAGGGGTGTTCTCCTTCCCCCCTTCTTCCTTCTGTCGCCTCTGCTGCTGCTATCGACCTTCTTGGTACTGAGAAGGTCGGCGCTGCGTCTGCCTCGAGCGGACGCCGCAGCGGCAAGGGCAAAGGGGGCAAGGGTGGTGGCGGTGACGGCGGGGGAGGCGGCGGTGGGGGCGGTGGAGGCAGTGGGGGTGGTGGCTCGGCTGGAGGGGCGAGTGGTAGCGGTGGGGGTGGTGGCGGCAGTGGCGGGGGAGGTGGCAGGAGTGGAGGCGGCGGTTGGGGTAGCGGTGGACGAGGCGGCGGCAGGGGTTGGGGTGGTCGAGGAGGTGGCAGCGATGGTGGTGGCCGTGGAGGCACTGACGGTGGCCAGGGCCAGCAGCACACTCCCTCGCCCCAGGAGGTCCGTGAGTGGTACTCTCAGCACGGGGGTGGGGGTGGTCTTAGCTGCACGTACGTCATTCGCACTGGTGACCGCACTGGTCAGCAGTGTGGACGACCGCACGCCACACAGCGCTGCTTCTCTCGTCTCGACGACGCTTGGCGTGTTCAGTTCCCTCAGGCCACTGAGCTGCCCCGCTGGCTTGACCTCCTGAAGAAGGGGATTGACATCTATGCTCTAGACTTTGATGCTATTCTATCTGCAATGTATGTGATGTCTACTAGTGGAGAGGGTGCTGAGTACTTGTGTGTGCCGCCCGACCCGGGCATTAGGGCCAGTGCGTCTGCCGCTCCAAGTACTCGCGTGTCGGCTACCCCAGGTGCTGGTGAGGCT